TGAGGCAATGGTCATAAAAGAAGAAAGGAAGAAGAAGATAAGAGGAATAGGATACAAGGACTGGTGGGATAGAAGCTGCACGAGGAAAAAGAGGATGGTAAGAAGACTTTATAGAAGCTGGAAGAGAGGAAAAATGAGTAGGAATTATTATATTGAAGAAAGGAAAAAGTTAAAGATCCACCTGGACGAGAAAAAGAAGAGCTGGACAAAGAAAGAAGAAGAGGAACTAAAAAGTTTAAAGAACAACACGGAGGTATGAAAGTTTATAAATAGAAAAAGAGGGAAAAGGATACGTATAGAAAACAACATAAGCAAGGAAGAGTGGGAAAACCACTTCCTGGAATTATTAGAAGGAGTGAGATTGGAGGAAGGAATGGTGACAGAAGAGAGGGAGGAGATTATAAGGACAGAAACGGAAGGAGAGGAAGAGGAAGGAGAAGAAATTGAAGAAGAGGAAATTGTACAAGCAATTAAACGAATGAAAAAGAGGAAGGCTGCAGGAATTGACGGAATACCCATGGAGGCTTGGATATACGGAGGAATCACGGTAAGGAAAGGCCTAGTAGATATAATAAAACAGGCGTGGAGAGAAGGAGTGATTCCTAAAGACTGGGAAACAAGTGTAACAATCCCGATCTTCAAAAAAGGCGACCAGGAGAGGGCCGAAAACTACAGGGGCATATCCCTGTTGTGTACGGCTTACAAGGTGTATGCGGAGGTGCTAAGGAGAAGGTTGGAGAAGGAAGTGGAAAGAGAGGAGATATTACCGGAGAGCCAGGCGGGATTCCGAAGAGGGAGAGGAACGGCGGATAATATATTCGTCCTTTCTCACCTAATACAAAGAGAAAGGAAGAAAGAGGATAGGAAGATATATGCAATATTCGTGGATTTAAAGGCGGCATTTGATAAGGTGGATAAAGGAAAATTATGGGAAGTGATGGAAGACAAAGGAATAAATAAGAACTTGATTGGAAGAATAAGAAGAATTTATAAAGTAACAAGAAATATAGTAAGGACCGAAGAGGATTACACGGAGGAATTTCTAACGAGGAAAGGAGTAAGGCAGGGGTGTGTGCTGAGTCCACTCCTGTTCAATATACAATATATATAGCAGACTTAGATAGGAAAATGAGGGAAAGAAATATAGGAGGTCTGAAGTTAGGAAAAGAGAGGGTTTGGTCTCTGGCGTTTGCAGATGACATGGTGATATTAGCAAAGAATAGGGTAGCAGCGGTAGATATGATGAAGACACTAGAGATATTTCTGAGGGAGCGTAGATTAACTTTGAATACGGAAAAAACAAAGGTAATGGTGTTTAGTAAAGGAGGGAAAGAAAAAAAAGAAAAATGGAACTGGTTAGGGAAAGATTTAGAAGAGGTGCAGGTTTTCAGTTATCTTGGCTTTACATTTAATAGAAAAGGAAATTATAAGGATCACTTAAAGGTCCTAGAGGCGAAAGGGAGAAGAGCAGCAAATAGAGTTTGGGGGTTAGGTGGAAGGATATGTAAGGACGATTTCGAAAGAAGAGGAATGTTATTTAACTATTTGGTGAGGAGTGTTATGTCGTACGGTGTAGAACTCTGGAGATGGGCGGAGAGGGAAACTCTAGAGAAAATAATGTTGGACTATGTAAGATGGGTATTTAAGCTTGATTTTTGTACGCCAAGGTATCTGATAACGAGAGAACTAGAATTGGATAAATTAAAAATTAAATGGGGGATAAATGCGAGGAGATATGAGGAAAAAATAAGAGAGATGGGGGACAATAGATGGATAAAAGTTTGCTGGAAGGAAAAACAAGAGGAAGGATGGGCTGATTTGTATGGTAGGGAGAGGGAGGCTTATTATAATAGAAATGGATGGGGTATTATTGCAGTAGATAGCATGCCAAAGGAGGAAAGGAATATGATAAAAGATTTAAGAAGTAGAGAAGGAGACACACAAAGGCAATGGGAAGAAGGTAGGATTAGGGAAGCGAAATATAATAAGAGATATAGAGATTTAAGCAATGCGGAGGGAAGGCCGAGATACTTAGATTTTAGGAATATAGATATGATGGGAAAAGGTAAGGAAATTAGAGCGCTGATAAGATTAAGATGCGGAAACATGGAGGAAGATAACAAATACTGGTTGGAAGAAGAAAATGAAAGAAGAATGTGTACATTTTGTAAGGAGGGTAAAGATAATATAGAGCACTATTTAAAGGATTGTAAAACGACGAAAGACTGGTTTTTAGAGTTAGGTAATAGTGGAAAAGAAGTTGGAAAGATTATATAACGATGTAATAGATGAAGATAAAGGAAAGATATTATGTAAATTATGGAAGGAAAAAGAAAGGCAAAAAAAGATGAGCTAGTCATTGTAGAAATAAGAAATTAGAAGTAAGAAATAAGAAGTGAAAGAGTTTAGGGGTACAGATTAGAGAGGGTATGAATGAGAGTATGGATGAATGAGTGGTTAAGGAATTTTTGTAAACCAAGTCCCACTTTCTGGCTGTAAGCTAAAGGTAATAAAGCATAACTTAAAAATTAGTTTAAAAATATTAAGATTTTTTAATAGGTAACCTGCTGATGTTTTACTACCCCCCTATTACCCAAATAGCACAAGTCCGTCCTGGGGAGCGATCGCGTGCACGATCGAATTCGATCGGTCGACTTCTCATACGTCTCTACTCTACAGGTTTCATGG